GCCCCACCAGCGGCTGAATCGGGACGCCTGGGGCAGAGCCGGACTATCGGAAGGGGGGACTATGAAGGGTCTGGGGAGGCATCCCCCCCACCCCACCCCAGTCCCCTCATAGCCCCCCTTTCCAATAGTCCGTCATAACTGATAATCCGGCACCCCCTGGGTCCTAAAGGTGCCGGATTATCAGAAGTTTACTGTACTGTGATGAAGGGCTGCGTTGCCTTTGCCAGCACTGCCCCTGTTTCCTCTGCTTGTGTGCGTAGCCAGATAGACCACTTGACCATGGATGCCTCTACCCAGATCCTGTGTGGTTTTCCAGAGACTGTGGCCTGCATTTCCCACTTACAGAAAAACAGGCTGTTGGACTATCCAATGTGAAAGGTGCCTGCAGGTGGAATGTTTCAGAATGCAGGTGGGAGAGGTACAAGAGGAAGTGACTAGTCTGGGAATTCCTTGAAAGAAGTTATGCTGCCCAGAGTGTCAAGGAACTCTCCAGTTCGTCCTCTTTCCCCCATCCCCAGCAGTGGTGGGAAGCTGCAGGGTCCTAGCTGAAGGGACAGAAATCATGGGGTTCTTTGACCAAATCATAGCTTTATGTGTAAGGGGGGGTCACTGTGATAGCCCTAAGGTGGTCTTGGACACATTCTGAAAGGCTGCAAGAAATTTATCTACACTACCTCACTTTTGTGCCACCACAGTCATGCGGTTAAAAGGTGCACAACGTAGCTACTACTTGTTGGCAAAAGATAGCTCTCCTGTCTTGAGTTGCTATGACTATACGTAGAAGTCTCAGAGGAGTAGTAGCCCTATTAGTCTGTAACTTAAAAAAAAAAGTAGTACTGCAGCAGCACCTTAGAGTCTAACAAACGTTATGGTCCAGCACATGTGGGACCTGACTGGTCCTGAAGGAGGGAGTTTGCTAGATCAGGGGAGGTTGGCTCTTCTGATGGTGGATTCCATGCTCTATGCAGGTCTGTCAGAAGACTGCCTGGCTCCCCTATCCCAACCACTGGGCTCCCAATTCCGTGGCCAACCCAGGGGTCGCTGGGGCTCCGTGGCCAACTCCTCCCTGTGGGGCTGTCTGGTCCAGCAACATTCATGGTCCTGCCAGCAGAGGGCATTGGTATTGACTCTGGCCTTTGAGCCACACTGCCCTGTGGGAGAAAGGCATTGTTAGTGACTGAAGCCTCACGCAGCCTGGGACAAGTTACAGATATAGTCGGGAGGGGAGGCACAGTGCCCCCACCGTTGCCTAGACTGGTACACACATGCAGGGGGTCCTGTATAAACTTTAGTATATTCTTTAAATGCCAGAATAATTAATGCATTAATAACTTAGTTGACTGTCAATAATTACAAGTGGTCTTATCAGTAGATTCCCCTGTCATTCTGGCAGGCAGACCAACACACGCGGAAGTGAAGAAGGTACAGGTTGGACCTAGGGATGTGAAAGACTAGTCAACTATCCAATAAGCAATGCTCAAAAGGCTAGTGGCGAGTCACTTCCCCCCCTGCCTTACTGCCTCAATCAGAAAGAGGCAGCAAGGGGGGGAAGAGAAG